ATATATATACATACATATATATATACATACATATATATATACATACATATATATACATATACATATATATATACATACATATACATACATATATACATACATATATACATATATATATACATATACATACATATATACATATACATACATATATATATATATATACATATATATATATATATACATATATATATACATATATATACATATATATACATATATATATACATATATGCTTGTGGTATCTGGTCAACTCACCACAGTGTTGTTTTTCGTCTTTACGGAGGTTTCATTTATCATCAGTGTCAGACAGTTTAGATCTACGACATAAAGGATAAGAAAACACAGAACTTAAAAACGTATTGACAAAACTACTGAAAGCATGACTCATTGAGAAAATTCTGCACCTTCTGCTTCATTGGAAGGAATGGCATTGATCCGAGCACCTGTCATCCTGACCGAAATCCCTTCATCGATGTCACGGCCACTTAATGTCACCTGCACTCATACAGAACCATGACACAAACAAGTGAGAATGAGTGGTTATGCATTCACACAAATGCATCAACACAAGCTACAAAATCAGGAGTGGGAAATTTTTCAGCACATCTTCTGGTAACTGTTAAGAAGTTTGGCTAAACTAGCACTAATAGCAATCCAAGAAAAAAAAAGAAATTTACCTTTCTGTAATTCATTGAGACCATAGCTCCGCATACCTCCCCCGAGCTCTTCCTGTGTTTATCTCCTTGTTGGTTAGAGGAATGTGGTTAAACTTGACTGTGCACAGTTACAGTAAAACATAGAATACTGGGAAAAACACTTCTAAGAACAATTTACCTCTCACTGACGCAGCGATATGCCTGAATTCAGGGAACTCCATGTCCAGATGGGTAAGAAACACTTCCTCCACTGGCTCCTTCGTCATGATGTTGAATGAGATCTAATGGAAATGACACAACGTTTAAAAAATGTGTTTATATTTGAAAAAAGACACTGACAATGCTCACATGCATTGTGTTGAATAAATTTTGTTTTCACTGAAGAAAAGAAGAAAAAAAAAAGACCACAAAGAAAATATGTAATGTTACCTTAACAAAGTAGATAGCGAAGTAGACCGGCTGCTGACCAGTACGGACATAATAGGAAATTATATCAGAGATGAAGGGCTCTTTTTGCCTCTCGCTGCTTGCTTGTTGCTATAGAAAACAAAAGACCTGTAAAATTAACCTGACTGCACAATGTTGTAACTGCATAGTCATTTTGATTGCACATCAACTGTATCTGAAATAGATGTCACTAAATAGTCCACGAAAGGCAGGAAATGCAACAGCGCTTGTTAATTTTGGTACTATGCTAAAGCTACTGTTCTTTAAGTTGACAGTTTCAGAGTTTGTGTTTCAGTTTGAACTCTTATGCACCATACGAACCCAAAGCGATGGCATATAAAACTTTATTTTACATATAAATTTAATCTAAGTATGAGGAAAAGAAAGAAGGAAATAGCTTTGCCAGAGTATACTGAGAAGTTTCTACAATGAAGAAACTTCTTCGTTTTTCAAATGCCAAACTCACATCAAACAATGAACTGTAACAGTAGTTTACATGCATGTATATCACTGTTCATTTTCCAGTTTCAGAAGTCTTCTATTTCCTGTTTGAGTTTACAGAGCAGTGTCAAGAAATCTTTGATATAAGCTTACTTTACTTGTGGTTTCAGTGAAATCAACATATTTATTTTCCTCACCGTATGTTATGCAATGCAATTTCCTGTGCTTTACCTCAAGCACTCCAACACACACACTGCCACTGTCTACAGTAATTCTCCACTCTCATTTAGTTATACATTTTAAGTATCTAACAAAACCCTGCTTTTAAATATGTTTTATCGTACCATTTTAGCCAGGTTGGGAATCATTCTACCCAAGCTCTTGATGTTGCAGTTGTACCATGGGTCAACGTTGCTCAAATAGGAACCAAGAGTGCAGGAATCCCCCTTGGATTGTTGGTGGTTTTCCTACAAACAAGGAACATGGAAGTGAAACCATAAATACCTTAAATGTGGCTCATTACATCAAAGCACCAATCCACTACTGCAGAGAATAAACTAAACTTTGTGAATACGAAGTTTCACATACTGATCTTCTGGTTAAACAGAAGCCATTCAGTTTTTTTTTATCTTTTGAGGTTTGTTATTTACCAAATAATCAGTGGTGTGCTGAAAAGAGGAAGTTCCCTTACTTTAACTGGGGAGCTGGGACTCCTGGGACTGCAAACAGGGATGTAGTAAAACTGGAGGTCGACTTTCATTGTGAGAAAAAGCCTTCGTGCTTCCCTTTTTCTGCAAAAGCAAACCAGAGATTCATGAGGAGTTTAAAGTGTGTTGAGCATGATTGGATTTTAACATTTAGCCAGATACCTACAATAGAAAAAGTACTCTTGATTCATAGACCAATAATAAAGTAAACTAAGTAACTGTGAACACAAATTGTAATTCAAGATTTGATGTAACGATTTTCCTCCTACTGTAGCTTCCTATTGCTGTTATGACATCATTTTATTTCATTTTTCAGTTAATGTACCTGCACAACTGTCACACAGTTAAAATATGTTCCCTAAAATAGAAAGAGCGGCCATTGTTATACTACAACAGACACATTTAACATCACACAGAAATACAGTTTGCTTATATCCTCTATTTGAATAATCTGAGCTTCTCATGCTTACTTTAATTTTTCTCTGTAAAAAGACATTCCAGGTACTGTGTACTTAATCTAGTGAGAAAAAACCGCAAACAAACACTGACCAGTAAAGTCATGAGAAAGAAAACCTATGTAGCTACATGTAGATTTAAACCACAAGAGACAGTTCCCAGCTGCATCTGTTTAGACACTGCTAAATTTGCTCTGTTGGTTTCTGTCTCGAAAGTGACTACAGTATAGCGTAATAAAGTAGCAGAAATCATAAATGAGGTGTCACAGCTTGCAGTAGCAAACAAATAAAAGCTATATATTTGGCCACATAAGAACTTAGAATACTAAAAGCGCCAAAGAAAAATTGGTCAATGCATCGTCATCAAAAACTGTATTCATTGTGTGATGTGAGTAGTCCCTCACCTGAAGAAGTAATAGGCTTTAGCTAGGCGGCCCAGCACCCTATCAGTCCCCATGATGACTATTCTGGCAGTAAGTTGTCTCTGCTGCTTGGAGAAGGGGTTGTGCATCACACTGCTTCCTGCTCTTCTCTGCAAAGTCATCCCTCTTCTTCCTCCCCTCCCTCCACTTCCTCCCGCTCCTGTGAGGCTTGCCTGGTCCTCCATATTTTCCTGTATCAGCACCATACTGTCTTTTACGTTTGGTTTCATTTTGATGCCTCCGCGCCTCAACAGTTTTGAGTCTTGCTCACTGGAACAAGAAGGTATGAGCATTAAATCATTGTATGAACGCTTCCTACAGTATGCATGCTGTTGATGAGGACCTTTAAGTACAACCATATTTCACATGACTTTGGGGGCAATTTACATGAAATACTGTGGCTCAAAAGCATGCTTTGGAAAACAGACCGGAGTTTTGCACTATGCTACAGTACAAAACCTGCATATTAAACCATGCAAACTACAATGAAACTTGTTATTATGACGAAATAGAAATTATTAGATTTACTTTTTGGATTGTTCCCATGGTCCAGTCATGCTGACGGCATCCAAAGATGGCAGTTGGGACGGCTCAGTGCTGGGCGGCAGGTCCCTTTCAATACCGCTGTCGTTGGACATAATGGAAAAGCGCGTCATGTCACATGGCATCATGTCAATGGGCGATTCACCCAACTCGGGGTCCTCCTGCTCTTCAATGATGGAGAACTGTTCTGACATGGAACTGGATCGAAGCCACTTGGCCAGCTCTCGCCCTGTCAACAGTTTGAACATTTGTTATGCACATGCAATACAGATAATGTTACTCATATGGAGTCATATAGACTCATATACACTGAGCTACAGTATGTGAGTCCTTTCAATAAATGTCACATCTGGTCTTACCGCATTACTTACTGACAGTTGTCATACTTTTGTCTACACAATCACATGCTGCTTTAAGTCACATCTTCAACAAACTAGTTTCCCAATTATGTGTGAATCTTTCAGTAGGAGTCCTTAGTTGTGCTCAGAGAGGTATTCTCTATTGTGCCAGACTGCAGTGTACACATTTAGTTTTAATTTAAAAATCATTTAAAATTTCAATAAACGTACACTCGCTTCAGCTATAGTCACTCTGAGGGCTCCACTGATTCAGTTCAATATGGGCTTAAATTATGTTGTTGCATTAAGTGTGTTAATCTCTGATAAGTGAAATCAATGTTAATTAATGTTCAGTGTCAGACTGACTCTTGTAGTTTGACTTTACTGGTTTCAGGTATATTAAAAAGTGTTATTTGGTAACTGAATGAAATCATATCTGCACTAACTATTTAAAAAAGCTTCTCTTTCTCAATAAGCTTTGATTTGGACTGAATTTTTAACTATTACTGTTGCGAGAAAGGACAAAAGGTAGATTTGTGGAACAAAACCAAACTTGGCATCATGTTTCTAGTATCAAACAAGGAAGCAATTCAGCAAAGATATAAAAACATATTTTTTCCCCTTAAGTCAGATGATGGATTTTTTATTTTTGGTGTATCACCCAAGTCTCGGCCTAATTCATCTCATCTTACTGTTTGCAACAACATCCTCTAGAGTCCCACCAGCATTAAGAGACACTCACAAATATCCAGATCCGCTGTCCACAGGTGGAAGCTCATCTCTGGGTTAGGAAGAGGGCAGTCACATAGTGGTCCACCAGACAATGGTTCTGCAACACACACAGCGGAAAGCAGAGAGAGGAAGAGACCAAAACTGTCACAATGAATATTAAAAAAAGCACTCGCTAACTCTACAACTTCCTCTGTGTAAACACCCCTGTCTATCCTTCAGTGTTCCAGCTGTGATGAAGCCAGGGCAGATTCATCAGATAAACCGATGTGATAACAGCAGGGAAAAGAGTGTCATGAAAATGTATACCTGGAAATACTAATAATACATACAGCTGACTTTACACATTGGCCATGGGGGAAACAGCTAAACAGAAGGTCGAGTTTGATCTTAGCAACAGGCGATGAATCCAGGCCACATTGTTATATAAAACATGTCCATCAGAGATAATGCTTGAAAAATACACTGACTGGTTTACAGTTCACAGCTTGGTTAGACTGAGATTTGGCCCTTTTAATGTTGAGATGCTTTGGACACACCAAATGAAGAGCTTCTGTCATACAGTTTGCAATGACATAATTTCTACACTCGTTCATTTTTGTTGATTCTCCTGCTATAATTACAACCCAACAAAGCCCTAGAAACTTGCAAAGGTCTATTTTTCCCAACCACAATAATTTTTGAAATGTGACACTGCAGGCATTTTTGATCTGAATGTAAAGAGTACTCACAGATTACTTTAGTAAAAAAAAAAACAAGAGCCTTAGCATTTCAATACTCCCCTGACTGCAAGCTGAAAAAGCCCTGAATGCCCAACAGGTCAGCAGATTCCAAGCTTAAGATGGTTAAATAAGGGTAGTTAGGACTATAAAGACTATAAATTATACATGTGCACCTTCTTTCTACTTCATGGAGACTGTAATGACTATTTTTATCAATTAATATCAAGAGAGCAGGTACACCAGATGTTATCACTTCTTGATTTTTCATTTTCCATTTGGCTTCTGCCTCTTGATGTGACTGTGGTTCTTGAACTTCTTCCACTTTCTTTCATGTCTACCTAAACCTGTAAGTTCATGTATGACTCAGACAGACGAACCTTGGCCAACAGAAATGTGGTCTGGCACAGCTCTGCATTTGCTTTTCAGAGAAATCCTACCTGAGTCTGCATTGGCAAGAATCTCGTTGTACAGCTGGAGAAGACGGCTCCTCAGCACTCCCCCCTCCCCTCTGACGCCCTCCTCCAAGCTCTGCTCTAGCGACGCCAACACTTCCTGAAAATATGGCTCAACTTCTTGCCCCATGTCCTGTTGCAAAACAGACAAACAACTGGCTGAACACACACGCTCTCGGGAAAATAAACATATACAGATGATGTATTCATAGCAAAGAGGTGAGAGGTCATAAATGTGCGTATGCCTGCCCCTGTGTGTGTTCTGCTGAGGTGCTATCTTAGGACCGGTGCCAGGAGACATTTCCACCATGCAGCTCAGAAACAACACCCCGTTATTCATGATGTTTGGTATGACTCTTACACGATTTTATATCCAGCTGTTATATAAGAGCTCCTTCTTGCCACCAACAGAAACATGATTCAAGCATGTCACTTGAACTAGGTCAGGCGCATGATTGCTTTGTGCACCCTTCATCATTGACTTGAGCCTCCCCACAAGTGTAATACATATTCACGTCTTGTCCTTAGCGGGCGACCAGCGGCGGTGGTCTGCCGCGCAATTCACGTGATAATAAAAAATACAGAATATCCTCTTCGTATGACTTACTATTATTAAAAATAAATAATTAAATGGCTTTCTACAGAACCTGTTAAACTCAGCAGTGCTTCCTCAATGCTTTCGCTAGATCGTCATCTTTTCTGCAGTATGTTTACCCAAACATCCGATCTTACTTCCACCAATCACTGACTAATTTCAACTGTAATTCTCAGAAAATTTATTCTGCATGAGTGGGGAGAGGGACCAGGATGTGTTCACACTATGTGAGTCACATTTGTCCTAGATGGTGAAGTTCAAATGAAACAGTGACTTCTATACCAGGTCTAATTAAAAACAAACAAACAAACAAACAAACAAGTGAGGCATATAGAAAATGTCCACATTTAACTTTACACTGCTACAAAACATAACTCCAATAATAAGAACAAGTGTACTGACCTTGAGGGCTTGAGCGAGTTTTGGCCCATGGCAATGCTCATCTCCTAAAGCAGCCTGTATAGAGTGTTGTACCACACTGCGCATGTGATCTAGAGGATTTAGAAATTGACCTGAAGATGTAGCTGATACCTCAAAATCCCCCGACACAACTGTTACCAAGGACTCAGAGAAGACCTCTGGTTCAGCTAAAACAAAAACCCTGCAGATATAAAAAAAAATACTTAAAGACTGAACAAAGAAGACAGCTGAGGAAATGTAAATATCCAGTTCTAAAAGGGTTTAACTCAATCAATAAGTACATTATTTAGAGTTAACTCACCTCTCTTGGAAGGGATAGTGCACGGTTTTTAATCTCTGCTCAGCTATGACCATCCTCTGGTACATTAGACCTGTAGATTAAAGCAGCATTAAATGGTACTATATGGTTGCAATAATCATAAAAGAGACAGGTATAAATGTCCGTTGATCTTAAGTCCAATGGAAGTGAGTTCCACAATCTTAAAAGCACAATCTCTTTTGACCATGATCTGCCTCAGCAGCTGTTTAAACATGTTGTTCTAACATATACAAGCTTCTTACCCCATATTTTAAATTCAATCACTATGTCAATGTCAGAAATAATACCTGGAATGAAGCGTTCAGTTTTTATCTGTCTTGTGTAGCTAAGGCCCACAGTGCAATAGGGGTGAGGAAACGTCAGCAGCCTCTTACAGAAGTCGTAAACCCGCTTGTAGAGTTCATCTGGAATATATGCTGTCTGGAATGTCACCATTAAGGACACACACACACACACACACACACACACACACACACACACACACACACAAGGTTTACAATACAAGTAGAAGTCACAACTACAAATTTTCGTTTATGCTTATGAATGATAATTTTCTCAGTGTTGTTAAGTCAATTTGTTCTAGGAATTAAAACACAAAATTCTCAAAATTCTTCTATTAGGTGCTGCGGACATTACCATAGTGAAACACACCACTTTACATGCTTTAAAAGCAATGCGTGGTTTTATTTTATTTTTGCAGTCCAGTAAACCACTTTATAAATATTGAAAAGAATAACCACACATATATCAATTAAATGTATTTAGCTAGCTATATTCATGTTAACAAAACCAAGCCTAGAATGCAAACAAACAACAAGAAATAAGTGAATTAACAGAAACAAACAGCTCTTGTGTACCTTTTCACAGAGTACTAATGCGGCAGACAAACCATACCTGGAAAATGGCATACATCAGTGTGTGGAGCAATGGGATGATGCATTTGCGAGAGTCCCATCTCTCCGCCTGCAGAGATAACACATCATATGACAGGGTGCACATATTTCAATAAAATAATCCAATTTCAGCTTCTATGAATCCCAGATAACTGCAGTTTCCTTTGTGTGAAAAGGGAAGCATTTTTTTTTTCAAAACCTCCAGTGTTTGCTGTCAGCATTTGTTGGTTTATGGTGATGTTTTCCTTTAAAATTGTAATTTAAGAGTGTCAATGGTAGTGCTTCAGAGACTTAGAGATCAAGTACCTTTTCCAGCTCCTTTATCAGTAACCACACCAGAGACAAGCTACTTGCAGGATTCTTTTGAACCTTCTTATGAAGCGTCCATCTCAGCATCCCTGCACACACATGCACAAACAAACACATGCACGCATGAGCTTTTAACACAGAAAACTAAACACACTCACCAAAGGTGTCAAATTTTTCTCCATACCAGTGCAAATCCAAAAGATGTTGATGACTACCAACAGAATGAGTCATAGTTTTGCTGACATGGCTAAACATTCCACACAGTGCTTACTACTAATACTTACTGGCTTCACTAAATATCTACTCTGAGTGGAAAAGTTTACAAAAAGGAACAGACTTGGTCACAGTAAAAATAATCACATGATGTGGCTCATAGGCAATCTTATACATGAGAACGGACTCAGCTGTAAACACAGACAAACACTATCACATCTTTTACATCTGATATTATTTTTGATAAGGCGATTGAGATTTTTTTCTGGTTTGTTTTTACCTTTGTTGAAACAGTCAGATTGCTGCAGCTGGTCGGTTTCTCTGGGCAGCACAGCCTGGATGCTCCGGTAGAGCTCTGGCTCTGGAACTGTAGGGGAGCCGTCAGCTGATAATAAAAGTTGAGACACTGGGAGTTTAAGTCTGAAAGATTCTGTTTTAAATTTGCATAACTGAGCTTTGTGTATAGTTATTTGAGTGGGTGATCTGTACCTGTAGGCTCCATACTACACATGTTTTTTGAGCTATCCCATAGGGCCATGTTGGTCAGGTCTCACACACATCATGTGTCCATCAGCTGTAGACAGGAAATAGACATGGAAAGTGAGCGTCACTTATGTTCTGTCATGTCTGCGTACAAACACTAAGTGGACAGACGGCCTTTCACTCTGCCTGTCTAAGGGCAGAGTGAAAGGCTTGTTTTAATACCAGCACTGTATGTGTTTTCAGACAGTGACAATACATCTCTATTTCAATGTATCTTCAGAAGAGACATGTTTTGCATTTGTGTATGGTAAGTGTTCAAAGTCTACCTACGTGAACACCTACACACTCACACACCTCACACCACATGCTGAAGGTTAACAGATAAAATAATTAGAACTGCTTCCACACGAAACAACCTAAAAGCATTAAAAGTGTCTATAATTAATACAGCCTACTTCCCGTGTTTAAGTTACTTACTTTGTAGAAAGTCCCACACAGGTTTATGAGTCATCTGTAAATCTCCCGTAATACAAATTCATTGTGATATTTGCCCAAGACTGAGAACTAACCACCCATTGTGGCCATGGTTAGTTTAGTTTCAGATCCTTTATGTTCATGATAAATGGTATATGAGATCAGGAAGACACCCTGTTTTTCAAGGAACTGTTGCAATTATGGAGACAGCTTGTTATAAATATTTGCTCTCTTCACTACTCAGAAAAATGCTGAATAAAATAACTGCAGCAGAGAAGGAGCAAAAGACGGGAGCATAACATACCAAGACTCACAGAAATAAAAATATGACACAACTAAGTGTTTTCACTTAGAATCTATAGTAGATATCCTCTTAGTATCTAACAAATAAAAACAAAATCTCAAAAGCTATATTCTTAGTTTCATACACGATGGCACTATAACCAAAAAGCATCCAAATCCATTTCTAACACACAAAGTAAAATAGAGATAATATAACATAAACTTACCCTGTTCCATATAGGGACAGGCAAATATATCGCCCAAGTCTGCTATATTCATGCACTACACAGGCTGTACTGACATGTAAGTCACAGGAGTCAAAGAGACTGAAAGTGAGCGAGACCGTGAATCACACGCAAGTGAGGACAGCGATTCATTTCTGAATGTATTTCCTTTTGTATGAGGCTAAGAGTTGTGGGCACGAGCTCAGTTACTTTTGGTTACGAAGAAGGGAGGTGTGTGGAGGAGTGTGTGGGTACGTGTGCGTGTGTGTGTGTGTGTGTGTGTGTGTGTGTGGGGGGGGGGGGTCTGTGCAGGTTTCTGAAATGAACGTATTTGGATTTGTTTCTATTTTTAGACTTCTTACTCATACCTTGGTTTCTCACGTTTATAAACTTTTGCACCTGCCACTTATTCTTCCATCTCTAAGTTTACCCATTTGACCTTTTTCCTCCCTTTCTCTCTAACACACACACAGACACACAGACTAACACACACACACACACACACACACACACTGATTCAGGTCATTCAACTGAATGGGTCTGTACAATGAAAGGACTTAGTATGATGGATTTAGCCCTGATCCCTCTAAGAAAAGCAGCGTGTTCAAAAACAGTGTTAACAGCGCTGCCTCAGCAGTTCAACGCTGCCTGCTTGACCACAAGTTTCCGGTTGCCTCTACCATGATCACTCTCTTTCTCACTGTCTTTCATTCCCCCTTCTCTCTCTCACTCATTTTTTCTCTTCATAGATCTTCAGCTGTGCAGCTGGCCCCTTTAATACACAGGAGGGCTCAAGATATTATCTTCATTTTTGTGTTTCTCTAAGGTATAAACAAATGCAGACACAAAACTAGCCATGCATGCATATAAACATGCATCGCAAATGCATACATTGGCTCTCACTGACACACGGTTGCAAGTGTAGACTCTATGTTGGCTTTTTCAAGTGAAACCATTAATGCAGTACAGGAGCTGACACATACGTAGCACTTCCTTTCTGTCAAATGAGTGGGCAGACAATGCTCTATATTTAGAGAGAGAGAGAGAAGAGAAAGAGAGAAGTAACTTCAACTCAGAAATAACTTAAAAATAGATGTACCCTATCATTGAGAGCATTTCTAAATATGCAGTTTGGAAATCCCAGTCTGCAATAAATGCACTGCAAAAGGTGAGACAGTGGACTTGTAACTGCGTTACATTGAAATGAAAAAAATGTTCATGATCAAGGCATCGAACTTTAAGTCGTCTTATGTAGTCCTACCAATATCCATTACAATATCCATATATGGTATGTAAATAAATATAAAAGGTTTGTTTACACCTCCTAAAAAACACACTTGTTATTACTGTACCAACACTTGGACGTTCAGGTTTCTTCCAAACTATTTTGTATCAAGTGTTCGTTTGCAATCCTCATGCAGCAATATGTCATTTTTTGACAAAAATATATATGCACAAAAATAATACAATGCTCAAATTTACAACTGCAGACATACACCAGCAAATACCCAATGTTTATTTAAAATGCATAAAATAACAAGATTAAGTCAAGTTAAATTTACCTAACATACATATGATCGTGTGATTTATTACACTCATACTTTTTAGCTGAAACAGAAACAAAGACAGGTAATAAACAAGTAACTACATGCACAAATACTATTCCACTGTAACAACTCACACACATATTGTGCCATCGACTTACCACTACCATGGTGCACCTTACAACAAAAAAGCCCTTTTTTCATTTAAGTAGATCACGTGATTGTTTGGTAGAGATGACCACATTCCTACTGTTTGCATAGCTGCTCTGACATTTTCATAGTCTGAAACTTTCATGTATTTAAATTCAGGACTGCCTGTGAATATAGGTAAGTTTGAGTTTATTGTTCTAGTGTTGCAAGTTTTGAAGTTTGGGGTTCATGCTTTAATTTCTTTACAATTCCAATAGCATCTTCTTCTGACAAAGTTGATTCTTTGATTTAGGAATGAATGAGAATTTCTTTATTAATAAAACCAAAAGCTTTGAAATAAACTTAATTACGTTTAATTTGAATTTAATTAGATTTAATTAAATTAAAGAGTTCCCAAAGATAAAAAAGGTATGCCTTCAGTCTAGATTTGCAAACACTGATGCATAAATCTGATGCCTGAGGTGACTTGGTACAACGGCAGCAAAAGCATGACTCCCTTTTGATAACTGTAATGACTTGCTGTTTTGCAATCCTATATCTAGGATGGTAACTAGTTTTCTCAATTTTTGCTTTGTTTTTTTACTTTATTTCTCTTGACTGACTTCATTGTTTTTAACTGTGTCTCATTCCCATTCATTTTCTCATTACCAAAGCCCAAGGTGTATAAACAGTCCGGTTTTCAGCTTAGTTCCAACTTTACATGTTGTACTTCCTGTGTTTTTGCTGCGTTGCTCTGGATATATTATCACCATGTCCACAATAAAGCCCATTCTGGCCCTGCCAATTTCACTGAAACCTTACAAATTACAAATAACCCAAACAGTTAATAATTAAATTAAAAAAAAAAAAAAAGTAGGTCAATATAGAGGTCCCATCCTGTCACTTACCTTTTGGCCTCATGCCAGTGACACAAATTTCCCCATGAGTGTTGACAATTTACGGTTAATGCCATTCAGTTCCTGATTACATTACAGTACACAAATGTCTACACCTTTCTTGTACAAGCAGTCATTGGCAAGCTTTGCAGTGGTCAGCTGAAGCCTCGGACGGTGCTACCTAACAGAAAACAGGAGCGCTCATTTCCGTTGAGGCACACTGCAGACATCTCAGAAAACAGGAAGGGCCTGACAGCACTGTGTGGAAGTGTGCTCATAGAGCAAGAGAAAGGTGGTGTTTAGATGCATGCAGGGGAGGTGAGGCTATATGTGTGTCTGCTTGATTGGAAATCCCCAACCTAGGATAGCTTAGGGTCTTTTGACAGACACAGGTTTAATCGTCTTTCACATCAGAGTTGGACAGAGTGCAACAGTACATATCTGCACAATTTTACCCACAAGTAGACAACAAGTAATACCTGAAAAACAAGTGTGGAGTGACACCTTTTGGACTCGTTCACATAAATATTAATGCGTGTGGTACAGTGAGTTATCACTTACAGTAAAAAGCATAAACAAGTTCCTTGACTTCTTTTTTCTTTTCAGGAAAAAAAGACATAGTGTAAAGTCCCACTGAAGTCAATTAAGAAAAATAAAGTAAAACCCAAAGCAAAAATTGAGAAAACTAGTTATCAGAATAACACAGGAAATGGACAACAAAACAACCCAGAATAGACACTGATTGTCTGTTACTTTGTTCTACGTGTGAATTACTTCACATTGAGCAACAAAACAGTCCCTTTCTTCAATAACCAACAGTTTGTCATCTGTGATTACAACAAAGCAAAGGTAACTGAACACTGCTATAATTTTTCAGACACACACCTGCACAAGCGAAAGCTGCAAAGATATTTCAAAAACAGACATGTAATCTTGCATGAGCAACAAGGGATATCAATCAAATTGATTTCCTGCATCAACATAATGGACAATATGCGGAAGTTTTTTTGGGTGCTTGAATGTGCACATGTTTGTGTGTAAACTTGCCCAACAAGGAATTATCTCCTCCTTAGGGGAGATACAAATATTTGCAACAAAACTTTTAGGTTTTTAGTTTCAGATCGGAGGATCTGGTTAAGTTAAGTTAAAGGTTTACATGCACCAGGTATGCCTCTTAGTGTAGTATGCTAGATCCATCAGGCAACAGGAAGCTGGACAAAACAAGACAGAGAGAAGTTTCCCTTAAAGGTCTGCATGTGAGAGTTTGTGTGTGTGTGTCTGGTAAGGCCTTGCCTGTAAGAAGTGGGTCATTTGGACCACTAGGGTTCATGTGAGGATGTGGCGTTTAGCTTAAATTAGGTAACACGCAAGAACAAGAGTTTTGCAAAAAATTGTATATTTAACCCAAATGACGATGAAAGCTAACACTTACTTGTGTGTAGTCACCCATGAACAAATACATCATGCCACGCACAAAGCACTTAAAACATAACTTGTACTGGCTGATATACACAAATTCAGTATTTGCAAACTAGGAACTTTTTGTGCAAAACCCTTAAGGCTACAAGTTTAGCTACACACATTCATAACACTGACTACAGTGTTTTTTTCTGCTTTTCCTCAAACATTGCTATGAAAGTGAAACTCATCTGAAATATTATTGTTACATTTGTTACATAAGTATTTTGGAACAGTGTTCGCATTCAGTCATACATCTAAATTCATTCAGCTCAATGATCGACAGCTCTGAACACAGACAGCATTGTAAGAACAGTACAGCTGTGACCTCAGACAGAAGGCCTGAGGATAACCGGAGCACTGTAGAGAAGTATGAATGATTTATGTTTTTGGTCTTAATGAATAGTAAGCTATTTTTATAGACAGCTAAATCAGCTATTCAATCTTCACATGCAGTTCTGCCATGCTTGTTTGTAAAGACATGTTTAGAAAGAAGCATAGGTTTCACATATTTTGTTTGCTTATATAGCCACAAATCAGCTGATTCCCTTACATGGCAACCAAGAAAATAGTCTGGCTGGGTTTCCTAATACTTTACAGTCCTGTCCGTCAAACAGATGAGATGGTATCCCTGCTATCAGTCTATCTGTTTAATCAAGTGCAATGTCTCTCATACACACATGGCTAAAGACTGATTGAAATGTAATAAGAAAATTAATTTTATTCATTGACTGACATAAATGTTTGAGGTATGTGTTAGCAGTGCCCTTATTAAGTATATAGCCTATAGGGACTTTAATTCACATTCATGTTTTGATATATTTTTTTTCAATTCAAGTAGTTGTTCTTGCAGTAGTCAGTAATATTACTGCAAAGGTCTCAACAACAAACATTGTTCGTTTGCTGCCCAAGATCACCAGTCTAACCACATATCAGATCTTATTCAGCCACAGTGGGCAAAAATGGGCGACAGTGAATCACAGCTGTAAACTTTGAAAAAGTAAAAAATCTTTTGGGGTAAAGTGACCCGCTGCTACCGCCACAGGATGTGCCAAGTGCGTCACATAAAGAAAAACAGCAGCACAAATAGATCTTCACACATGTGGCTACGATGGAGCCACTACTTTCCAAGGAACCCACAGTTGCAGAACTGTGCCAAGAAGTATTGCCATTTATTTTTATGTCCTTTAAAACAAACAAAAGGGTAGTGTCTCAAAGTGAGGCCAGTCTGCGGCCGTCTGTATTTTGGCATCTGCTATACGTGGAACTAAGTGTGTTTTATAATCACTTTCTGCAAGGTTGTGTTTTTGAATGTTGTGTTTGGGAAAATTCAGCGGTTGTGTGGGCTAACACTGGTCCAAAGCCGTATCTGAAAACTATAAAGTGACAAAAAAAACTTTAGAAGTTTCAAAACAGAGCTTTCTCAGTAAAGTTCGCTATCTGAAAATTTACTCTATGAAAAAAAACAAGCCGTCATCGCACGCTTGTAGTGCAAAGTGGCACCCTAAAACGCAATGTTTTGTCCAAAAGCGTAACTGGTAGAGATAGTTCCCTCACGATAAGGAAAGCCACAAATGCTCAAACTTGTGAAGCTGTTCTTACGAAAGCAACTGCCATTTTGACCAACTTGTTTTGATTCATTTTAAAGTAAAGTAAAGATTAGGATTTATTTTATTTCCTATTTTCTCTCATATATCTCATATCTCTTATATATCTTTTATTTTTCCAACCTGCTTTAAAAATACACTTTTGTTAATATGTTTATTCAGTTTTCTCAATTTTCTTGTTTATATAACGAGTGATATAGAGTGCACTGTGGTTTGTAGGATGGTATACGACATATGGAAAATACATTAGTTCAAGTAACTGGTAGTGGGAAGTCACGCCGTCTGACTATGCTGCAAATTCTTAAATAAGCCGTAGAAGTTAACACAGCCTGAAGATATGTTGGAGGATGTTCTTCCAACTAAATTTAACAGCAGCTATTAAAAGGTTTATTAAGTTGTTTGTGATCCACAACACCTGAAACTACCCAAGTCCTTCCTGCCAGGTTATGTGTCAAACCAACATGACTGAGCCAAATTTGGCAAACAGCAAGCCAAATGTATTATATATTTAATTTATTGTATTTTATAATATATTTGTTCCAGAAGAGAGTTCTACATTGTCAAACATTTTTTGTTATTTATTCATTTTACTTTTGCTCCCCACATCACGAAGCTATGACATCACAACATGATCGATCAGTTTCAGTGTTGATCCTGGACCAACAATAATTATGATGATGCAGGAACAATCTTGACCCATCTTGACACAATTAAGACATTTTCTGTAGCCCGTAGCCGCAAACTAAAGTATTTCCTTGAGCACTTTTTTTCCTCCTAAGAATTTTCTTCTCTGTCTTCAGCATTCCAACCAAACACTTCCCAGCAGAACACAAATGTAATGCATTGTCTCTAGCGCTATCAGTGCCCTCATGCGGGCCAGCATTCTCATCTGTTGGTTTTTGATCTACTAAACAAAATTAGAGATTATTTTAGAGATTATTGTTAGGATGCCTTTAAGATACATTTCCCAAAATTCTCCTAAATGTTGCCCTTAAGTGGTTGACATTTAAGAACTAAGAATCCTTTGTGGAGAAACGCCACTACATCAGCACATGACGCTGACCCTGTTTTTATTTCATGGCTTACAGCATGAGCATTATGTAGTTAATTATGTAATTAATTGTTTATTATAGTTATTTTGAACACATTAATAATTGATTACACAATAAGCATATTGGGTAAAGTATATAATTAATGATTATTATTATCCTTATTAATAGAACTTATATAGGCAAGTTCTATTAAAGTCTATATTTAATGATTAATCATCCTTAAATTAAATAGGTAAGTTCTGTTCCACTGCTGACACGAGACAGTTTAAGTGCGGTCCTGTGTCTCATGGTGCACCTGTTCTGGTCATCCTCTCAACACTCCAGAACATGTTTCTTGGCTACATTATCTCACTGCAGGCATTTGACTCACCCCAGAAACTGTTTATGAGTGACCGCAGCATTGATAAGGTTATCTTTATAATGAACGAAGTGCAACTAATTTTCCTTATTCGGTGTATTTATATTATGATCATTTGTTGTTCATTCCCGCTATTGCAAGATACTCATGAGTTCCCCTTGAACACCGTCCAAACCAAAACCGCGTCAATGAGGTAATAGCCTAAATATTTTAAGCAGTGAAGTCACCCATCCTTCATCTGTCAGTGAAAAACCTCACCCAGTAGCTGACATCAGTAGTCTGATTTTAAGTAACATTACATTTCTTTTTGCTTCACTAGATATTGTTGCACATTTGCTTAACTAGTGATCACGATTCACAGACAGCCTAAAAAGAGACAATCATCCATTTCCCCCCTCAAAATAGCTGCTGATTCACTACCCACAAATGACCATCTGCTTTCTTCAACTACAACTAACCATCATTCCACTTAACCCCAAAGTGGTGCCAGGAAGCTCAGATCTAAAACAAGGAAGCTGGAGGAAATGCCGGCTTACTTTTAGACTCAAACAGACACAACAGAGAGCCGGGGCTTCAATCAGATCAGGCACTGTTATCAAAATCTTGCTAATCTTGAAATAAACCGCCGCCCCCCTGTCTTCCCGTGTCACAAGCCAGGATGTGGGGAGGTTTTTGAACAGGCTAGCTTGCACGTAAGAGACTATTCAGAAAATATAGTCGGATTAAAAAAACAACAACACACAGCGCGAGAGAGACCAGGCACTGCAGCTGTCATGAGCAACAGCTACAGAATTTCTTGTCAAATATTTCTGCCTGGAGCTCTACTTTAAAACCACTGACATATCTTATCTCCATATATCACAGTAAGTGTATACTGCTGACAAAATCGTGTACCGGTGTACAAACACAAACAATGTTAAGGCAAAAGAAAGAAAGAAAGAAAGAAAGAAAGAAAGAAAGAAAGAAAGAAAAGAAAAGAAAAGAAAAGAAAAAAAGCCAACATAAACAAAAAAAGCATATCTCAAACTTAGCGGCCAATCTCTGAAGTAAAACAACAGCATAAACAATAAAAATACGCAGGCCATTCACAGTTTCACCTTAAACTGAATGCACAACTGCATGCAAATTATTTTTCATCACTTTCAGTATGTTAGCTACAATTTAACAGTCGTCGACACCAACTTTTGCGCGAGTGAGCAGCGGGTTAAGTAAACTAAAAATGTCAGCAGTTGGTGAAACGAAGATATTCTAGCTTTTAGGGAAACTTACCTAAAGTTGAGCTAATGCAGGAAGCTTCATTCGCTCTTCTTAAATTACTGTACTATTTCTGCGTCTCTGTCGCTTCACTCCAGTCATCTGTCTGACAGCAGAACAATCTGCTGACCACGCCCACTGCCCGGAAACCAATCAGAGCTCTTAACCAGAAATGATCATCTAAGCACGAGCCTTCGATAGATGACTAGATAGATGTCACAGATCATAATTGGTGTTTGTGGCAGTAAAGCCATTTTAAACTGTTTGATGCTGGTTTTACATGCATGTCTCTATATAAAGATATATGTGTGAAGGTGCATATCTTTACTTACAGATGACCGCACGGGTGTCGCTGCATTTCAGAGGGTATTCATTTTTACCTCAGACGCGGCATGCAGTATAATATGAAACACTTACAGTTTCAGAGCAGTCCGACGTTGCTCTGTTCATTCACTGTTCATTCATGTTGTAAACGTAGCCTATAAATTGAGTCGACTTACTCTGCAGACGTATACATATTTTAATGATCTCTGAAATGAAGATGTTTCATAGATAGACAAATATAATTTACAGAAAGAAATATCACACTTTCATCAGAGGACACATGTAGATGGAGGGCACTGGTGTCATGCATTTATCTAACATTTAAACACAAAAAGTACCTAATTTAACCGCCTGTTCGCTCGATTGTCGTGTCATTTAATTATACCAATCTGCAGTGCTTCAATTTCAGTGTCAGTCAAGTCATCAGGATATTATCCCTTTACACTAACAAAACAATAACATTTTAATTGCACAGATTACTGAGTGTAAAGTGCAATGAATCAGTTCCTTTTCATGCAGGAAGTGTACATCCAAATCTATTTTTAAACACCTTTTCCCCTACTGGTGTCCTTATTTAAAAACAAAATCAAAAACATTTCGTTCATAAAATATGTTACAGTAATTACAAAGACACTTTATTCCAAGTACACTGTACTTCAAGTGAAGTCAAATAAAAAAAGTCACTGGGGCCCTCTGCTGGTCATACTTATAATTTCAGTTAAAACAGTACAGTGTAACTCCTTAGGAGAAATGTTATAACTGTGTATAACAGGCATAAAAATGATGATGTGATTTTCAAGTTATAGTACACGGCGGAATATTTACAAAAATAATATTTACATATTCTCTAATAGTGTGCATTCTCAGATATTGTCACCTAATCTGATTATAACCCCCAATAGACACCTCCATATGGATTTCCAGAGAGAAAAGTTGGTAAACTTTGACTCCAATATACCACAGTCGTAACATCTCCCTCACCAGGAGCCTGGTAGCACAGCATGTGGTGTTGCTAGTTTGTGTATCTTTTCACCCAAGACTCTCTAGATTCACTCTGTTTACCCAGAGGATATTTTAATGTGACTGTGGGTGGAGTCATGTTTGTCTGTCAGTGCAGAAAGAGGAAGTGAAACTTGATGAATGAAACCCAAAGTGTTCCCTAATTACACAGAATGACTGCTGTGTACAAAGAAAACAACACGCAATCAACTCGGTCTCTTGGTTGCCTGGGTCTTCTGGTATGTGTAAATATATATAAAAAAAATAACATAAAATAAAATAATCAGGTGACTTTTGTTACTATCCCTGTTTTTATGTTTCCAAATGTTGCACCCCACTGCAGGTCGAAGGCACCATCACGTGAATCTGTCCAAGTACTTCATAAAAATTAGCAAAAAATATTAAAATATCCTCTTTAGTTAGTCTCTAGTTTCACAGAATATGCACAACAGTGCAGAGCATCTTTCCCAGATCAGTGGTCGGCAGTCTCAGGGAAGAGCCCCACTAAAAGTGACTATGGGCAGGCAGAGGAGGGAGCAGAAGGTCGGGTGGAGTGGCTGGATTTGAGCAGAGGCCTGGAATTTTCGTAGCCTCCAGTCAGTGGAGCTGTCAGGTTTGTAGCACACTGATATTTCACACCTGGATGACAAAGAAGGAGATATATGGTTAGAGAAAAACAAACATTTGCAAGGACTGTGTACTGTAAGTGGGTTTTGTCATTTTTGTGTACGTTTCCTGAGAGGAAAGAGGGCCATGGTGACGCAGCTGAGTGAGAAACTGCTCCAAGAACAAAACAAGGGCTAAAATCTACTTTGTATGTCTTTGTGATTCTAAATTCTTTTTTTCTGACAAATGTTTCTTTTCCCCACCCCCCCCCCCCCCAAAAAAAAAAAAAAGAAAAGAAAAAGCTGTGTCTTAACGAATGGTTGTGTTACCATGTAGACCACGTAGATATGAAACAACCTGTCTCAATTAGCTACCATCACATATAGCTTCTTTCCGGTTTCTTTTCATTTGGGTGCACGTGTTTATTTTCATTCCAAACCTGGTGACACTCTGTAGTATCTTCTTCTCATCCTGGTCCAGGCACACAGCAAAAGTTGTGTTTTCAACACCGCTGACCTGCACCTTGTCCACCTTCACCTCAGTCACAGTCAGCTGCTGCAAAGGTGATAAACGGAGCAAATTGTCACGAACAGACATTTTACCAAAAACCAACAAGACTTCACGAAAAGGAATCATTTTTAAACAACACGCACGACTTTCACACCTCGACCGAGCTGCATTGAAAACAACTCAGATGGGTTCAATCATTTAATCAGGTCTACATGTTGCTGATGAGGTTAAAAACTCTTATAAATAAACGCTCCAAACCCAAACTAGGTTAACACACATACAGTGCTGCAAAACAATACTACTGCCAAAGCACACACCAGCAAAAGAATTGTGTTCTTGTTTGTGTGTTGTGGCTTTCTGTTCCATCACGGTGTCAGACAGTAAACGGTTCCCATACACGCTTGCGTGTGTGACTAGATATTCAGTCGAGATTTTGAGATGAAATCGAGTGTGTATCGAGGACTCCATCTTCAGTGATGGCTGTGCTGCAAAGCTGTTTGCGAAAGTAGATTGGTGCTGCACTTTCATAACCACAAACCACCAAGGCAGACTGATATCACGTATTTCTCACCTGGTTGTAGCCCTTTTTGCATTTCCCATTCTGTCTCTTCAGGACTTCAGTCATCGTCAGCTGCAGGCACTCCATCTTTGAGTCTGATAGACATCATTTTAGGTCAATTAAGAATACACTTGCACATTTTGTTCATTTTCACCTTGAGTATGTATCAAAAGGGTTTCGATTAGAAAACTAGCTTGAGTAATACGGGAATAAGAAAGTGAATGATTCGAATTGACAGTGAAGAATGTAATGTGTTTCCCTGAAATGAAATTGTGAACAGACATAACTTTTAATGGTAAACACAAAGAGTTACATACCTAGCTCCTCAGGATTCTTGCATGCTTTGATTAAGTTTACTGAAGTACAAACTTTGGTTTCTCGCTTCCACTGACTTCTGCCGCTAATAACAACCTGAATGAGAGGAAAAGTAGGGTAAGATTACGGCTCTTTTATTTAAAAAAAACAAACCCCAAAACACTCCAGTTTTGGGAGATGAGAAAAACAGATATGATCATGAGTGCTTCCAGACGACTGTGTCGATTTTGAAAGACAAAGAGATGTCACTTTTACCAATTTCTAATGGTTCAGACCACATGACCACAAAGACCAAACCTTTGTGCAAGTCTTTGTGCTTTGTCACAGAAGTTTGATGCGTCATCTCCTGTGACTCAAGAAGCGACCATATAACTTAAACCAGTTCTTAAGGCGGTGGAAAACTGCACTAAAGTGTTTGTTTGTTTTTCTCCTGATAAGATGGCATAATTACAAATAAAATTTGTTTATAACGCAGCTTTATGAAACAAATTTTAATTAGGGATACAACCCGAACACCATCCTACCTTGTTGTACACAACTTCCAAAGTTAGAGGGACTGCTTCTCGGTCACCATCAATGCCAAAACGTTTACTGGCAGCACCTACAGAAAAAAAAAGAAAAGCACACGTACACACATAAACTGTTAATCCACGGTACTTAAAAGGGCTACAAAAAAAATGTCTACAAAATATTTTTAAATGTACTTCCTGGTGTGGAAAAAAAGACATTTGTGTAGTTTAGCCACTGTTGTCATAAGTTTTTACATAATGGAAACAAAGGGTAGGTCATTTGCACAGTAACTAACAGATAGGGGACATAAAAACATTTCCCTCAACTTTTACTTCTCCAAAGAAATTAAAAATCAGAAGTGCAAGTATTGTTGACAAGTGAAACTTGAAAAGTAGAAGTGAATCATGATGTTAAAAAAAAAAAAAAAAAGCAGTTGTTTCCCTACTATAAATTTAGTAGTCTCAGCCTCATAATAAATGATAATCCATGTCACTGTAAGGAAATGTGGCTGCTAGGCTATGTATAAATGCAAATGTTTGATGCATGCGTCTGACTTACCCATGGCCTTGATGGCTCGCGTTCCTGCGGCGTGACCCAACTCCAGGGAGTGGACGAACACCTCAGTCCTCCGCTCTCCACAAGCTAACGTCAGCTACAAGACCAAAGTTCCTCCATTATTCACTGAATATGAAACTGTGTTTTGTTGTTAATGAGTGGCAGAGTGCCATTCTTTGATACTAAAAAAAACTTGTGAATGAAGTTGCAAGAAAGGGGAACAAAAAGCCCCAAAAAAGCATTTTAAGTGTTAACGTGTAACCAACCTCAGCCTGATAGAGCTGGATTAGAGTTGGCCGAGCAGCATAGCGGCAGTAGTACAGGACCAAGTCGGCCAGGATGGGTAGACGCTGCTCATATGAGCTATCGTAGGACTCGGACTCTGTTTTTGAGGTTTGCTGCAGCAAAGAGTTTATGATACATGGTGAAATTCTTTGTTGGATAAACAGGAATAACAGACTTTAGAATAGCTTTGGCTTGGCGGTGGGAAAGTTATACTACAGTTATACCTGGCAGACGATGTTGGCTGGTAAGTTAAGCAGGCTGAGGGTGTTTCTTTCGTACCAAGGATCCAGCATACCAAGGAGATGGGCAATGTCATTAGTACTGTCCCCTATGCCCATGTGGTCCTGCATGAGCAAAAGTGTCATACATTTACCTTTATGGACATTTTGTCTTTCTGTTCAAAAAAAATCACGAATAATCATTCTGTAGTCATCTTGAAATTATGTTTTCTTTGCTCTACGCCTCAGGTAGCTTAGTCTAAAGCAGACCTTGTGCCTTGTATTTGATATTTGCTTGTGGTGTTCTTGCACTTACGTTACACAGGGTTGTTCCCTTTGAAGCTCCAGGTTGAATTAAAGGACTAGAACCTCTCCGAGCTGCTATTACTGCAGAGTCTTTCTTCACTGGCACAAAGTAGAACTGAAGATTGAAAGCCCTGCTGAGACGCGGACATGCAGTCTCCTTTCTCCTGAGGTCATTGTATGCTCGGGCCACCTTCCCCGCTACATGATCAGCACCAAATACCACCACCCTCAGCGTAATATTCTTAATGTCTTCATCACTGCTAAGAATAGGCCTCCTTCGGAAGCAGACATGTTTAAGGGTTTGACTTTGTGGCTGGAGTGAGGGTTCAGGACTATGTAATCTGACCTGCTGGGGCAGGGAGTTGGAACGCTTCTCTCGCACCACAAAAAGGTCTTTCGATTCAGTGTTTCCTAAACTTTTGGCCCGGGAAAGGGGGCTCTTGGGTTTGATGAAAAGCCGGTAGAAGTGTTGGCTTAGTCGAGCTGAACTTTTTGTTGACCTTGGCGAACATTTTTCAGCGACAGGAGAGGAGCAAATGTAGTCATCAGGATCTTCAAAGTAGTCACTATCAGCTCCAGAGGTGATAGAAAGAAGGGAGGGAGCGTACGATTCTGAGGCTACAGACAAGGTGGAGAACATGGAGTCTTTGGATGTGGAGGAGATCGTGGAGAAGGTAGAGGCACGATGGCTGTTGCGGTAGTCACTAGGGATGATAGATATTGCAGAAGGTTCAACACCATGCTCCTCCTCGTCTTTGTCTTCTTCCACATCAATTTCTGTCACATACCTCTCGTCATCAATATCACCCTCTTCTTCCTGCTCATTAGTGGACAGGTAGCCAGTTTCATGCTCCAAAAGGGTGTTCAGAACATCTGCAGGAAACAGGATATAAATCTTACTTAGAAAATAATATTTAAATTTAGCTATCAAAACAGAGAGAAAAACACCTGCTGAAAGATCCAGGAAAAACTATCCTTAAGAGATTGATTTACAAATTCTCTGTCAGCTAATAGGAAAAAGTTTATTCCCAAATATGAAGTACAAATAAATACAAGTTGAGTTTATTACCAAAGTTATCTTTTTCCCAGTTAAACATGTAACATTTGGCTGTGGGCAGGGGTAGCGTCTGCAACATTCCTAAGAGAAGAGCAAAATAACAGTCGGATTAGTGCCATGTAACACACTTCCAACCTCCAACCCCCCAGTTACCAAAACCAGCCTTACCATCAGACTTCCTTCCATTGGAAGCAGGGATCTTCATCATCTCCCGGAGTTTCTCCAGTCCCTGGATGACATGACTGCGCCCCTTCAGTGGTTCACTCATGGTAGCAGCTGCCTCTAAGGCATCGCTTACCAAGGAGTAGATTTCCTCCAGCTCATTCACAGGTTTTTCCTGCAAAAAGTCATGGTCTCTTATTAATCTCATATTGGACAGTACAGGTTTTGACCATGTGATGTCGTAACATTTTCCTCTAATAAATATTTATAGATTTCCAAACTACAGTAACCATCTCAGAGTTTAAATCTTGGGCTGGAACTACAAAGCAAATATCTCACATCCTGAAAACATTCTTCAAACATAAAACTACTGACAAGCAACTGCTTACGACGATATCGTACGTACGCTAGAGTCTTTTTCCCTTTTATTCAGTTCAGTTTAGCAACGAACATCTTTGTTCCTGCCAGCAGGGAGAGCCAAGGTAAAAACTACATTTATCTAACCATTAAAACCCATTAAAAAGGCATGTACTTAAGTCTTTGTAGCTTTATATAACAAATGTAATGTCAGAAATTCAAAGTAAAGATGGTTAATGGTAGATTAACATATTCATTCAGGTTAGGTTTAGAGTACACTAAAAAAGACTTTCTCTCATTAGCTGTGGGCTAAAAATGAATGAAATATCTTACTAAAAGAAATGAATTTAGTTACAATGAAACAATGTGATTATTTAGCTTGTATGAGAATAAAAAAAACCCCAACTATAAGAAAATGTGTGTTTTGTACTACACCACAAAGTTTCCTAGCTTTTTACAATCAATATTTGCAAAAAAAGTACATTTAGCACACTTACCTGCAGAGCTCTGTGAATGCTGTGCAGAGGGTACTTGGTGCCTAGTGTGGACTGGAAGGCGTGTTTAATCAAAGTGATGTAGGTTTCTCTCTGTGAGTGCTGAACGCAGCTGAGCTGCTCAGCCACTGAAACAAAGTCAGCAGGAACTTCACTGGGGTTCATCAGCAACACAGTCCTGTCAGCAACACGGAGTGTTAGAGTAAAACCTTGACTTGTACACAATGTACACAACCTATACACTGTATGCAGGACACGATGCAAACAGGATGCTATGGTCATGATGAGGTTTGGTGGGTAGAAAAGGGGATGGAAAGGGATTTTCAAAGTACTGAGATGACACATCACACATGGTGTCATTAAGTATGGCACCTGTAGTTTATTTTTGTTGTTACTTTACACGTGGGATCGGATAAATGCAGCAAGAATGGCTGTGCAACTTTTTCACAAGAAAGCAGAAGGTGCAAAGTTAACACACCAAAGTGAACTAAGCATACACCATCCTCTGCATGCAGTGCTTCAAAGGTAGAGAAAGCACAGTGTGCTTATGCAGCACAGGACCTTTGCAAATGCAGATATCAAATATCACCAGCACTTGGACTAGTTGTGGCTAAATTTTTTTTCTGTATATGCTATTTCTTTCTACATAGAACATGCATGTAAGCATGTGCCTATATTTTTACAGTCTTTAACGTAGTGAGCAGTGACATAGGGAAGCCTTACATGGTTTTTGAGCACTGGATGGATGTGTTCAAGCCCTGCTCGTCCCTCACCAGTCTCTGAAAGGAAATTCCTGTTTGGAAAACAGAACACAAACATTTGAATTGACACCAAAAAAAAGCATGACTACATTAAATGTTGTGGTGGAATAACTAGAGGCAGATGAAGGGTAACTGATGACCTAATTACTAATAAATTATTGAAGTGTTAATATTGTTAATCATTAAAATTAGCCAATGCTGCTCACGGGACGGTTAAAGTCAACTGAAATGAATAAATGAGGTATGGGTACCTCTGGCTGTGACCTTATCCGAACAACAAATACACACCAAAACACTACACCAGCTAACACTCATTCACAAATCATTAAGTCGTCTTTTGTTGTTTTGTTTTTTTAATCTTTTGAAATACCTGACCATTCAGCTGAATTTCCTCACTCATTTGTGGTTTCTGCTTTCTGTAAATGCTGATACTACATCCGTTTTCAAACAATATCCAGTTAGAATGAAGAAGTTTCTCTTAAACCTGAAACCACGTCATCATCCTGCCTCTGTCAGGTGTACACGCTACAAGCAGAGCTCGTTTTTCCCCCCCAAGCGTTATCCTAAATGCATTTCTTTGACTTATCACTAGGGGGAGTACAGTTACAACAGGTGGATAAGCAAGAGGTAAATTAAGCATAGTATGTCTAAGAGGGCAAAGATGTGTGAATTAAACAGACACATAAAGAAGAGAAGGACTGCAAAAAATAAACAACATTCTCCATATTTACCTGGGGCCTTCATTTCTAGCTGTATTGTGGAGAGAAGCTTTTTACACACACTGCAGTAGGGTTCAGGCCATGTGAGGAAATGGCAAAACACATCCATGGCTTCCTCCAGCAGGTCTGTGTTATCAGTGCAGTACGGTGTCTAAGACCAAAGCACAAAAAGATGTTTTTACTCTACAGGAGCTCTGTAGACTGCAAGATCCATCTCAGAAGACCAACAACATACTGAAACTGCGATTATCATAAGTGTTCATAATTCAGTTCTACTTCTGCAGTCTGGAAGCTTTGAAGCATAACTCAAACTATTACTCGGTTTTATATAAAACCTCGATGAATTATTTAAATAATTTGTTATTTATATAGTGAATAACTGTGCCTAACTGATCCAATACGGAAAGACCATTTTCTTTTGGAGCAACTGGCTGATCAACAATCATAATTTGATCCAGAGGGATCAGAGAATGCTTTTAATTGGAGCCATTTGGTCCATTAAGTGGGATGTATTAGTTCATAAGAGGTGGAAACACAAAGCAATACAAAACTGTTCTTTTCAGTTCTGCTCTTTTTTCAGGAAATGAAATATATTACATATCTTATTGTCATGTTTGGGTCATACTATGGTTGTTCATTTGTTGTATATTACAAAAATATATGTAAAATAAAATATTTAGCAAGAAAGAATAAACGGATAAATCAAAGGTTTTCTGTAGGCATGATTTCTGCATGATGAAAAGGCTTCCTTTCACATCTTTCATTGTTACGGTTTCTAGTATTATGTAATTATCCTGTAACTGCTTGAACATACGTCACAGGGGATTGAATTGAGAAACTAACTGAACTTTAAGATGGAGAAAGCTCATACTCTGAATGCTACTGAGAGGTGAAGAAAGGTCACATATTTTGATAACATCTGTTTTTAGACAAGCTGTACCTGCAACAGCGTGGAGGAGAACATGATAGCGAGAGGAGCCACCAGCTCATACTGACACTGCTCCTGAACCTGATCGCATGAACAGATGAACACAACAGAAGAGCGACATAAAGCGAGTAAGGATTAGTTAATGTAGACTTTTGATTATTATAGCATTCATTCATCAATGATTAATACATCTTTTCTCCTTGACCTCTCACCTCTCGGGTCTTCCTGATGATCTGCTGTAAAAGGATGATGAAGTTGTCCGGATCTCTCTTCACCAGCTCCTCCAGGCTCCATCGGTTCATTGACTGTCCCACTGAGCACATCAGCACTGCAATACATGCGTTTTTACAGCTATAAACAACATATATGCTTGACATTCTCACATATTTAATATCTAATGCTACGATTCTAATTTTCTACATATTTTTAGTAGCCATCAAACGTACCCCATAGTGGTAATGAAACAAGGCACTGGACAATATTGTGCTAGGCTCTGACACTGGTTTGCAAAAAACACCCAACAGCTTTTTGAAGTCTCAAGCTGTCACTTCTGGTGCGTATCATAGGTGTGTATTATCACCTTTTGTTCACTGTTTCACTAAGGATGTTTGCGTATGTACAAATACGACAGGATGGATTTCCTGTTGTTAGAAAAAAATAAAAGAAAAACAAGATAAGATCTCAGTTTGAAAGATTTATTTTGCACTAGGTTATTCACAAAGGCTAATTTGGTAAAAGTGCAGTTGGCAAGTCCCAGATAATCAATTAACTTTTTATCAAAAGTCTCAATATAAAGCTTTTGGTATACATAATAATGTTTTACTGTTTTCTGTTACAGTGTGAAACAGAAACCTGAATTAAAAACAACAAAGTAGATCTGTGAATACAGTATTTCAAACCACACCGATCTGTTTTTTTGAGTGTGGTGTATCACAGTCACAAAAACAACTGAAAATGACACCTGACTCCTCACAAGCATGTTATTTTGATGTGATCCCTTGACCTCCGTGACTTAGATTGCACATCAATCTAAGGAATTAAAGCTTTAGCAGTCAAACACAAATGCCGTCCTATAAACAGGCCTTTGCATCCAAGTGCGCTACCTAACATCTCTAAAAAGCAGTGCACTATTTGCATCATGATCACACCTAACCACTTGGGAGCTCTAGTCTTTTTTAATATTGCTGGTTATGGGAATACAGCTGCCTGTTTTGAATGATCCTGTTAAGATCCAGAATGTAATACATCAGTGCTTCAGTAGACGGCTTGTGCTCAACATGTGGACGTTTACGTGAATGTAGCACATTACATATCCCTGGAAGTTTATCCGGTCAAGGCATTTCAAAAATAAAAATAAAAGCTCTGAATTGGAAAAAACGAATGATGAAACGAGAACACCAAACTAAGACCTTCAGGTCACGTTTTAAATGCCAAAATCACATCATCACCACCGATCAGTTTGCACAGGTATGCGTCATTCTATCTGACACTGGTTGACGTGCGGAGGCCGATGCCAGTTTGATCTTCCGCCCTGTTTTTATACTCTGCATCACAGTACCTCCTGCTTCTGATGCCTCACACACACGCTGCGGTCTGTACCACCACTTCCTCCCAGCTGTCTATTCACACAACTTCCTTCAACACCCAATAGTGTGCTCCACCAATGATCTTTCAGCAACAGTGTCATCAACAAGCAGCTCAGACTCTTCTGAGCGTATGTCGCGCACAGTCCCTGTGTTAAGAGCTCGTGAACAAACAACTTTTTCTGTCAACACCACATGTTACACATGTCCAAATGTGCTTGCTAGAGGTTGATACTTCTGAGAAAATGTGGTGCCTTTACCTTCCTAGAAACAGAATTTTGACCCCACACTCTAAATGAATGCCTGTAATGAACGATTTCTGTTCATTGTATGGCACTTTAGACTGAAAAACCTGCTGTAAGCAGATAAAATTACAAAACTTACAACAAACATATTAACAAGAGCCATGGTTAATGCCGTGATACGATTTAGTTAGTCAGAACTATTGACATTTACGATGGCTTAGCCACACATTTTGTCCCAGTAAACTATGCCAGTGAACCAATACAAGTCACAATACAAGGAGGTGAAGTGAGTGAACTGCAGCCAATAAATAGGTCAGTTTATTAAGCTGAGAGCTACACCTGAGACAGAATGAGCTGCGACCAATATAACTCCATATAACAAATGTAACAATTATATCTGTGCACACAGAGTTCAGACTCTGTGTATGAAACTCTGAATCAGGCTCCTCGTGGCTTTATCTCAGAATAAAAATAATAAAGATTAAAAGATATTTGGTGCAGTGACGACACTAACAAAAACAAATGATGTGATTATATTGCCATGGCAGATAGGAGCACAACCAAGCATTTGCTCTGTACATCTCTAAAAAGATGCACATTAAAAAATGGTGTTGTAAAATTCAGAGGATGGCGTTTGTCCAAGAAAAGCTTTTTAAGGCTTCACAGGATCAGCTGTCTGATTATAACCTTCTTTTATAACCAGATCTTAGCGGTGATCCTATAAGTCCTTGGTAAAACTGCAGGATCTTACCGTTCCAGTGATGTGCTGCTGTGGGACTTTGCCGCAGTCCATCCAGACACCTATCCAGAGCATGCTGGATCCGGTCCTCTGTACAAGAGGTGTGCTGCATATTCACCACTCAGGTTCTGGAAAGAGGCAGGAGAGAGATGATTATTAAGCACCGAAATATGATAAGCATCTCAATGCCCTTTAATGTCTTCTGTGGAAGATTATCTTCAAATACATTCATGCATAATGTTCCCATGCAAACGTACACACATGCTCCTCTCTTTTCCTCAACAGTGTGTTGTGTTATCGCATTTACTTTGCATGAAGGCAGTTCACTCGGCAAGTATGAAAATCAGTCAGAAGAAGATACACAAACCATAATCTAAGTGGTAAGGAAAACAGACACAGGGCTATTTGTGTCACTGTTTTGTTGCTATAGTTCCTGAAACGTCCTAAACACATTTGACAGAAACCTCCGCTGCCTCAAAGCAGACATATTTATCTAAAGACTTAAATGGATCTGTGACCACTTTAATACAACGGTTTTAAGCAGACCTGCTTCAGTTATAGTGTATTCAGCAGTTACATTGTACAAGGATGGGAATTTCTGGATTTAAGACATTACATATTGCTCAACAAGCTTTGACTGAGAAAATTTAAAGCAAACTGGAAAGCAAACAATTTTCACCATTTTTAACAGGATAAAAGAAAACCCCCCAGCCCGAAGTGATTTTAAAATTAACACACACACACACACACACACACACACACACACACACACACACACACACACACTCTGCAATCCTATAAATGAGAGAGATATGGCGAGGAAGAGCTTGTTATAGAATTCCTGTATGACAAAAATGTGCGTCATATTTTACCACTGACTCATGAGGATGTACTGAACTTCACTTTTTTTTTTTTAACTTTCAGTTTATCAGCGCGTTTGGCTGTTTTTCATGCAGCAACTGAGGACAACGCAGGTGTGGCAAGCTGTTTCAGTTCTGTTATGAACACATCTCATAAGACATATGTGTAAGGAAAAACAGAGGCGTCCGCCAGTCAAATTAAAATGGGCTGAGTAGTCACTTGTAATTCTTGGATGTTTTTATATGTAGAAGAACAACATTTGTGGTGGCAGAAGGTTAACGACACAATTTCAGAGCTGAAAACTGGACCTAACCGCTAACCAAACAGTTTATAAAGAAGAAAGTAGTTCATAGGTTTGAAAACGCTAAAGTGAACATCTCTTTTCACGGGCAACTATAAAATTTCCCGATCTAGCCTTTCAGTTCAAATTAAACAGGTGTTTCTGTGTGGGCCAGCTTGTACTCTTATTAGGAATAGCCACAGAAACCATTTTCAAAGAAGCCTGTTGCTTTCGATACAACAAAAAGTGCACTCTCTCATAATTTGTCAGGAAAACCATGGGTTTTCAAGCACCCTTAATTGCATCCAACTCACCATGGCATGGTATGAATCTAATTATTCTTAGATTTTTCCAGACTTCCCATAACAGAGTCCAGCTACACAATGTGTAGCTGACCTAATTGCATGTAATGACCCCATTAGATGCAATGATGACCCCAGCTGTGTGATATGTTGTATTACACAGATGGTTTTCACATCCAGGTTAGACAACAGCTTTTTGAACATTTTGGGGGAAACATCAGCATTTCTTGCTGAATATGCATTTTTACATGTTTTTCCCAAATAATCTGCATGAGCAAACTCACACATGACCAGCCTCTGTAATGGGAAGAGGAAACTAACCTACGATCTATTAAAAGATGATGTAAACAAGCTTAAAGTTGGCTGGCTGGACAATGAGTTCGAGCTCCAGAAGCATACGCAACTAGTTAATTCATATATAAAAGTAGCTCTGTATCGGTTGCATTGACGAGAGAGGCATCAAAGACATTTTCATGTGCAATACTCTAGTTTTAGAGTTAACATATTCAATAATTTGGGGCCTAAATGTATTATTGAAACCAATAAACAGCTTCTAACTTGTTAATGCATGTACACATAGAACAGGCACGTTTTCCATAGTTAATGTTGGAAAAAGATTGTTTAACATGGTCAGAAATAAGCTTGCTGATAATGCATTACGTATCTCCTCAATACGTTTCTCCTGACTCACTTAAGAATTTGGAAATGCAATAAACGCATGTGCAAATATGAGGAAACATCCAAATATAAGAAGCAGAACAAATACTTCTGTAAAAACAAAAATAAAATTAAAATTAAAATGAAGGTGACAGCGCTTCTGGAAGATTTACAATTTTAGAAACAGAGCAACCAATCAGATCTTCTACCTCCCCCCGACAGAAACGCTCAACAGCTTAATCGAGTTTGTCCTTCAAGAGTTATTTTATTCCTTTAAGTGAAATCTGAATGTGCCAAAGTTTAAAAAAAACTATCAGCATGCTGTGTACAGAAACATCACCGGTGTCAACAGTACCAAGAAAAAAAAATAACTTTCATTTAGTAGTAATGGCTTTTTTTCCACACTGATTTCACATTCACATTTTTTTTTAGTCAGTGTAATCTTCAACAAGAATGGTTATGGAGGTAGACCAGGACCAGAAATGAGTAATGACATCAAGCTGTGTGTCTGATTATATCTCCTCAAAATTTCCCCTGACAGGTTCACAAATTCCCCATTTCAGATGAAAGCTAGAAATACATGCTGGCTGACAGATGAACGGTGTTACCAAATTACTCACTTGATCTTTATACACCTACACGCCTAATAACTCTAACTGACACACACTGACACACATAAGCACATAACTGTTTATCCTTGACTTCAGAGGACAGGAAGTTGAGTTACACTGATTACCTGGAGATTTTTTTCGACATGTATCAAATGCTAGTTAGTCTATTAGTAACCCCACTCTAGAGTAACAGTAAAACATGTCTGCAATTCAAGTACTTAAGACATTGCCCAGGAAGGGAAAGTTTGTTAGTGTTTGTGAAACTAGATTTAAGTCCCCACAGCCTAAACACAACCCTGGCCACCAACAGTCTGTATGCTTGAGAGCAGGCTGGCATTTGGGAATGTGCTTGTTTCTTGGCCAGAGTTAGACGGGCAGCAGCTGGTTACCTTGGATTAACACAGACTGAAACACATGCTTGTATGTGTCCACAAAAGATGTGTAAAAAAATAATATCTGTTGAAGAAAGACGTCATAATGATAAATGTCTATAATGACCTTATGGAAGATAGGGAACAAACAGCTTGCTTTTACGCCTCTCTTTTTCTTGGATTAGCTAAACAAGATGATACTATTTGGCAGTTTTTTATCTTTGGAAAGAACCAAGGAAAGTGCACTTCCTGTTTCCAGTCTCCATAATGAGCTAAAACATTTAGCTACCAACTGTAAATTTGTATTTAAGTGACTTTTATATTAACCTATGAACCAGAACAATAGTTGATCATCATCTAACAAGCAAGTTAACAAGGATATTTCTCAAAATGTCAGACTGTTCCCTATGAGCCACAACAACTCATAGGGAACAGTGCTGTGGACATTGACAACACAGCACAGCACAAAACACCTTTAGGAAAATGTGCGCTATTGTTTTCCCCAAACAATTGTCCTTATTTTTACTCACAACTCGTGCTTAAGTACAGATGCACAGCACTGACATCCAAACTTCCAACCTTGCCATAGGCACGGGTCAGGAAGTTCATGCAAATCCCAAGTTCAGGAGGCCAGATGAATGAAACTCAATTATCCCACAGCACTCCACTTTCCTAAAGTTACCATTCAATAACAATACCTTCAGCTCTAGACATAAACAAAACCACCATGCAGCACTTTTCTCAGCCGTCCCTCCTCCCCAGAGATGTATTGTCTCTAAAAGGTGTCCCAGCGGCACTGAGCAGGACTACAGAGCCGTGTGCGTTGGATCCTTGTATTGAGTGCTCCGGTAATTGTCAGGGCTGGACAGAGCTGGATATGAGCCCAGTCGATGTGGAAGGAACTAATAAATTAAAGTTGTAATGACTCTTACATCCAACGTGGCGTTCAATGAGGACACGTAAAGGTAATAAAAGAGATGATAGCACTGTATGATGCAGTGAAAGTGTTACATATGAAAGAACCAACTGGTATAGTTCCTCTATGTTACTTATTCAGTACTCTTTTACCAAACATGGATGTTTAAGCTTTTGTTTGGTATTCTTCTCAAAGAAAAGTCAGATATATTTTAAGAAGCTGCCATCACACACCCCTTTGCAATGTAAGATGTACATCCAGCTATTATCAATCTTAAAAACAGCAAGGGTGTCTGCTGAACTATTAACCTGTCAGTGGAAATCATAAACACTATAATAGAAATACGGCAAAAACAGCTATATACCACATCCAGATTGTTGCGGATTTTCTGGGCTTATGCAACTACAGGGATTTTTGCAGCAAAATTCAACCATAAGCGTCATCGAAGTTGTTTACATAGACCTGCTAGTCATGTTGCAAATGCAGCGACTTTGTGGTGTTTCATAAGAGGATGTATGCAGTACATCCCTAAGAGTCAACAAGGTCACTTCCACTTTTTCATGGCTTACATTCTGACAACAACAAGCAGTGTTTCTATGGTTTAGAGCTAGTTTTCAAAAACGTAAAGCGAAGTGAGCATTATGTTACAGAGACAGTCCTTAAAGAGCTTAAAAAATAAAAAATAAGCATGGTTCATGCACTAAAAACACGGATGGTGTCGTGTTTTGATCTTCAACATCTGCATGAAGCAATCTATTCTAGGAAGAAACAAACTAGGAAAACATTAACTGATAGCTCTGTCTACCATCAGGAGATCAACATACAACCAAATGGTAATCTCTCACAGAGATATCTTTTAAGCTTTTAGCCAATGTTTGACTCTGATAGACTCCCCGCTCTGTCAATAATAGCATCCCCAAACCACCAGACTATACCACTATTCCACCCACAAATGTTTAGTTCCCTTTTCCTTTCTCTTACCTGCCTGCTCCACACTGAGAAAAGCCG